CCTCCCGCGGCACGCGAAAACGGAGCTGTTTTGGGCTGTTTTGGGGTTGTGTTTCTCGGTTCGGTGAACGGTCGCTTTGCAACGCTGCAGCTTGTTCGAACTTACATATTTACAAGCAAAATGACCCAAAACCATAAGAAAACATGCTGCCAAGCAGTTGTACATGCAGGTGTGAGCGACGAACGGTTCGTTGAACGGAGTTGTTGCGGGTGCGCGACGACCGTTCGTGACAGTATGTTACCCGCTTCATGGCTATCTAGAGAGGATCTATAGGCTTTTTCATCCAAGGCGTCATCGTGGACTTGGAGGTGGAGAAGCAAGAGCTAAAGGATGAGAAAGCGTGGAAGGGGGGGGGGGGTGGGGCAATAGGATCAAGATCATAGAAAGTGCAAAGGGGTGGACTCAACGTTGACCTGCACTAGAGATACGATAGCTAGCATCAAGGGAGTGACAAGCAGCATATATGACTTGGCAAACATGGCAAGACACGAGGAAGTTGGCATTGTGGACGGATGCATCGTAGGCTCAATAAAAGAAGGCCGTGTTTGGCTCATAGAAGATCGTTGCCCTTTTGTCGGTCTATATCTATATCGACGCCAATATAGTTACCATGACCCCCCAGTGGCTTTGCATCTACATTAGTGCCGATGCAATTGTTATGGCTCCCAACTGCATCATCGTCCATCACCATCAAAAACATAATTGGGATATTAAAATTAACCTTTTGTCAATTATTTTTATGCTTCCATCAATAAAATCGATGATATTAGGATAAATAGGAATAAATGTTTCACTTTCATAATTATGAGAACTTGAATATAAATCTTTTAAATCTAAAGATTAATATTTAATTAATCTAAACAGTAATAGGGTAATATTTAATTAACCACTCAAAAGCCGTTATCAAGAACTTGAGGCCTTCGTTTTAGTCTTCGCGAAAGATGCGGCGCTGTGAATAGTTTGCTCTGTGGTCAGGAAAAAACCTGAGAAGCTCAAGGCGAGCAATTCGATGGCTGCAATTCCCTGTTTTACCTACGAGAGAGTTCAGCCTACAAAACCTGAACGACTCCTTCCGCTCTTCCTATAATTACCCCTCACCTCTCTCTCTTTCTTACTCGCTTCTCTCTCCCTCCCTCGCTCTTTCTTTTGGCTCTCCCACTTCCACAGGAGAGAGCGAGAGAGGAGAGAGGGCGAGTCAACGAGAATAATTGGCAGCACGTAGGATTCTGCAGCGATGGCTAGACACACAACACTGCTCGCCACCCTCCTCCTCGCGGCGCTCGTCGCCACCGCCTCCGCCGAGCCCCGTGCCACCCGCCGCCTCCTCGCCGACAACGTCGCCGCCGTATGCCAGTACGTCACCGTCCCTCAGCTCTGCACGTCCCTGGCCGCGAGGTCGGGCGCCACGTCCTTCCAGGCCCTTACCGTCGCGGCCGTCAACGAGGCCTTGTCCACGGCCGAGGAGGCGAAGGCCACAGTGGACAGGATCGTAGCGGCGCCGATCACAGACGAGAAGCTGAAGGCCCAACTCGGCGTGTGCTTGGAGAACTTCGGGTACGCGGTCGACACTCTCAAGAAGGCGGCCACGGACCTGCAAACCGGAGCGGCACACAGTCAGTCAGTCTCCCACATCTCGGCGTCGGTCACCTACGTCGGCAACTGCAACGACGCCTTCAGCGAGAACCCCGGTCTGGTGTCGCCGGTGGCGGACATCACCGGCATTCTGAAGAAGTTGGTCAGCAACAGCCTGGGTTTGGCCATAGGCGTACATATGCAGGCATCCCGCAACTGAGATGTATGCATGGAAACGAGGGAAGGAGAAATGTTTTGACAGAGGAGATAACATATATATCATGGATCACAAAAACGTTGTGGTTTTTTTACTATTGCTTTGGCATTATTTGTTTCAAAAAGAAAACAAATAAAATTATACATTAATTCGAGAAAAATATATATTAAATAATAATAGTAGAAATTATCCTGATGGCTGAAAGAGTACACATAATTGACACCATATCAGTACGCTTATGTTCATCAATTATAATCATTGTTGAATGTGCGCATTTAATTTTATGTTAATTATTTGCAGCAATAACAATCACCATTATACAAATTTTGCTAATTAGTAAGGAAGAATAAACAACTAAAATAAAAAAAACTATGCATACAGTAGTAGCAAAAACTAATGCCACAAAAGGTGAGATGATGTGACCATGTCTGTATAAACATAGCAGCAAGCACAATCTCATGCTGAATATAAGAATATAAGAATGATATACGAGGAAGGAAAAGATGATACCAGAAATTGGAAACAATGATACATAGTGCCCTCCTTAACCTTCATGGACTATCACAACACATTCTGGTAACTCCCAAAAATTTGCTAACAATAAAAAAATGATTTGTACCTTGCAAATATCCTGTTTCTGTATGTGGACATGATCTTATAAATCAATTGGCAAGCTAACATCTGAGAAAATATTCGGGCTGCCATGGTGCCACCTTCTACAGTTACAACACGGAGCCGTCAATGGTGTATCTATTTTGATGAAGACCAAAATGAAATATCAAAGCCCAGAAGAATCCTCAACCGTCAAAAGATCTTGATTAGCATGGATGAAATAAACAAGTGGAAACCTCCTAAACTGAATTTCCACAGCCACCGCCGAGATCGTTGATCTTGCAGTTGGCTTATGTAGTTTCAATTTTTTTAGCAGTGAAATACTCCAACTGATATCAACTGAAAAGAGCAAGTCTTTAGTAATAGATCTTCGGCCCATCTAAAGGACCTCAGCTAAGAACCATGACATGGCATCCGTGCAATGAACTTACCGCTCTAAACAACAAAAGGTTCCACATCAAATAGTTCAGATGGGAAACTGAAGTTGCAACAACTGCCGTTGGTTTTCTCCATAGCGTGATCAATCAAACTGACCAAATCTTCTGGACCACAAACCTTTGAAGTTGGTGATATGACAAAATCCAAAAAACCTGAGTCGGTTTTGAGACATTTGAAGCAGTCCTGACTGAACAGTGCAGTTCTTGTTTGAGGATCTTGTTCCCATTGATTATCTATAGATTCATATGTCCTTTTCAGGGCACTGCACAGATCATGGAATTCTGGTTCCTCAAAAATTTTCTGAACATCAGAGAAAGCAGTATGATTTTCAACTGAACAGCTTTTAAGATTTTCTTCAGCAAAAGCCTCGACAGTTTTTATTTTTGAGGCAACAGCACGTATAGACATAAGGTTGGTGATGAAATATCTAGATTTGGTGAGTAAATTGTTGATAGAACCTTCCTCGTGTCGAAGATGGAAAAGCTGGATTATATTGCCCAGCGTGAATCTTGTGATGAAGATCATGAAATCATAAAAGTTCATGCCTGCAGGAGAAGATCATAGAACTGAATAAAACAAGAAGCTTCAGAATTGACATCTACAAATCATTGCCATTCTTATGCTTTACCTGTGTTGGCAGCAAGATTACGCTGACAAAGACCTTCAAAATCATCACAGATATCTCGAATATCTTCTATGTACTCCTTAGCCACATTATAGTCTCTTAAAAGCAAGCCCCACTGATAAGAACAAGGAAAGAATAATATAAATAAAAATTTAAAAATAAATGGCCAGACATAATTACTTTCCTTACTCACCACCCATGAAAGGTTATAGGCATTGAACCAGTTGTGGTTTATGGAAATTGTGTCTTCCTGCAACATTAAGGCAAAATCAAGTACTAGAGCAGAAGAGAGGAGATGGTCATAGAATGCACAACATAGAATTTGATACACGGAATATCAGAGTTTGAAATACTTCAGTGTTCTATTACAGCGACAGAAAACATTGTTGTCAAAATCATGTTAAAGAATGTGTTCATGGTTACAACATAAAAACACAAAAACTTGTCACTGTTCTCATTCATGACACATTAGACTATAACATCAAAATTTAACTTTCTGCTATGCAAATGACAACAGGTGAACAGATTTGAGCTTGTTGGTAGCCTTCTGAAACCAAAGTCCCCTATAGACTGAGTCAAGCCAGAACTAATACCTTAAGCTGTAGACATGTCTTCCATAAGCCAATAAGGACACAATTCCAAATATCCAGAATTAGAATGCAATAACAGTTGTAATTTAAAGTGCCTTTGTAACCGAGGTTAGACTTAAACTAGTCTCAAGAACCTGCAGTCTCTGGAACCCACACTAGTCCATATAAGGAATTAACTTCTTCAACTTTCTCAGTTGGTGGTTCTTGGACTCAAAAGTCAGCACAATTTATCTTCAGAACCTCCAATAACTCAGGTTACATTTGCTGCCAGAATCATTGTTAAAATGTCAGTTAAGGATGTTTTAGCAAATATATTATGGGTTCTACACAAGAAGTTTTGATTTCGAGCAGACATTTGCTAAATGAGCAATCTAAAGAACTAAAATTTGTCCCTTAAGTTGGTTGCAACATAACACAAATATTCCATTTAATAATTAGTTGTGACAGTCCACTTTTGTACAAGGTCTCATTCAAAGTTTAGTTTCAGCTACAATCACAATTCACTTCCACAATGCAAAGTCTAATATGACCAAAGCATAACAGATTTATGTGACAAAGAATCACAGATTGATAGAATAAAACAGACATTATTTGAGTAGCCTTTTATATGAAAAAATTATTAAGCCCGACCCAAAATGACTGCAAAAGCCAATTATTGGCAGTAGTGTGACCTGTGTTCGTAATTTTGTACCGTACCGATGTTTCAAATTCATCTCGGTATGATACGGTATGAGCGTACCGAGCAATACACTCTGGCATACCGATCGGTCTATATATATATATATATATATATATATATATAATAAAAAGGGCGACGTCGCATCGTTTCTTCTCCCCACGCGGATGAGAAGTCGCCGACTACATCGAGGCCTCATCGCCTCAGATGACGAGGAGGCAACATCTCATCTGTGACGTCCGGCAAGGAAGGGTAGCGACGAATCGAGATCGTCGAGGGAGAGTGGTACCGGACCTCCAGGTTCTCCCTCTTCTTCCTTCTCCCTTGGCTTATGCCGCTCGGTAGCAGATGGCGACGGTCGAAATCGACTATTACTGATCGATTTTGGGCGATAAAGGGACAGAAACAACCCCAATCGACGGTACTATCCGATAGCGAGCCGTCCGCGTATCGGTTTGCTAGCGAACCGATACGAGCGATATCATTTGAAATTAAAATCCTTGAGTGTGACTATACCCATGGCTATGTTTTACTGAAAGTGATTAATTATAATAGTTGTTCACCACTTGGGTATATAACACAAGACCAATAAAAGAAGGGTAATAAATATAAAATTTTGTTATTACGGATGGCAAAAAATTTACATAAAATGGTAAAATCTTACCAAATTATGGACTTGATGATACCATCCACTAGGGACAAAAATGACCTCATTTTGTTCCTGAGTACACTTTAACCAAATTGTCTGCATATAAATTTTGCAATCAAAACCTCATAAAATAGCAATGAGAAAATTTATTTTGAGGATATATTACCTTCTTAAAGCCAGGAAACTGTGCCTCAGAAACATCATCATAAACATTATATACTGAGGATCTAAAATTCCTGCATAAGGTATAAAAATCACATCACTAAAAATGTCTGAAAAGGAATATGCATACATGATCAACAAGAAAAATGCATCAGAAATAGGATAGGTCACATCATGTTTGTGATCAAATATACAAGTTCTCAACCATTGGCTCAAATTTGAAGATAAAAACTTAATATTGTTCTAATATAGATATTTACTCACAAGAATGAAAGACATAAAACTAGTGCAATCTTTACAAGTTTCTGCTTTAAGACAGTGGCTATGAATTGGTGGAGCACATATTAGCAAGTTCTGCTTGATAGCTATACCACTTGTTAATTGTAGAGCATGAGCCAGGCAGTTTTCCTTGACAGGATAAACATCTAGCTTAATCTGCAGAATGGCAGAACAATAGTATTAAAAGCCTCACATGAATAACATTTATTATTGGACATCTTCCAGCTAATTTGTGAGTCCTTAGTTCATAATTTGTGTTAAACTTCTAAACAATGAACTGCATAAATTTATCATAATAAGCCACCTGAAATAACAACCTAGGTAGCATCTGCCCTTGAGCACATTCTTAATTTCACAAGTTTCTTCCATAGCTAATGGTCAGAACTATATATACATATAATAATAGCCTAGTTTGTGGAGCCTTCTTTACTGAATATCAAACAAAAGATCTTCTGTTAAAATTATCACACTTTTTCACCTTATATATAATGGTCAGGCTATACTTTCTTGCTTCTGCTTATATTATATGTTGTTACAACTTACAACCATAAGCCTTCTCAAACTCCTTATCTGAAAAATATAATATTTGACTATAAATAATTTGCATTTAAATTTAAAGAAAGACATAGTCTATCTCAGACCAGTGCCTTCATTAGGCCAATGGAGGACATTTTGTAAATGATCACCGACAATGCTAATTTAAGTGTCCAAACAGCACGGATTGATTACAAATTATAAAAGTGCTGCACTATAAAATCCAAGTTACCTGTCAAACACAAGGTGACACTGAGAAGGTGGTAGAAAGAGCCAAAGTTTTCTCCCACATACATTGGCAGACCAACTGTATGACCTGAAAACGTCAGCATGAAGAGGAGTCCAAGTACCTAGAGGAGGAATTGACTATATATTTAAAAATAGAAAATGAAAACTCTGCTAAAGCAACTAATTGCAATTAAATTATACTTCAACAGTATATACTACAACACATGAAATAATTAACAGCATTTAGATAATTGCTTTTCTCAGATGATTATAAATCAACCAAAGCAAGCCTTGCACACACCAATGCGCCAGTGGAAACACATGTACCTTTTGGTCCCATATAAACAAAGCGGTAGTCAGCACAATTTATTTCATTTTTATCACGATGAATGTCAGAATCTCGATGTATCAAATGACTATCAAGATATAGATTGAGCCAATCATCAGTGAAACATGGAGGAGTTCTGTAAGCCACATAATCAGGATATTCCTGAAAAGAAATAGAAAAATAGAAAAAATAAATATTTGGTATGAAAACTAAAGCGTCTAAAACTTAGACTGATAACTTCAATTTGTGTACAAGTATAACAAGTACAAATATTCAACCATAAGCATGTGAGTGTAAGGCACTGTAGCCATGGTTACGAGGTCCCAGATCTTAGCAGCACCCACCCATTTGCCACTATGACAACACAAGGGTTCCAACAACATTCAAGAAAACCAAAGCTAAACTGATAAGTATGATAATTACCTATGTTCTCATCTCTATCCATGTGGCATCTTGGAAGACTATGGTGGCAAGGAACTGCAAGGCAACACAATGGTTTAAAGTCCAATGGCCTCCACTCCTAAACAATGGAAGCCCCAAACCATTTAAAAAGATTAAGACAAGAACTAGTCAGGTGGGTGACTGGAAAAGCTAACATCAAACGAGCCCACTGCTTCATAAGAGACTTCTCTATCTAGAATTGCCAGAGCCTAACCAGAATGATATGTCTCAAGTAATACCCATCAAGAGTATTACCATAAATTGGTACCCCATGCTCTCTCTTACTAACCATATGACCCGAGGAGAAAGCTGGGTAACAACCATGGAGATATAAAAGGTGATGTGATTCTAATATTGCCTGATTTAAAAAGTTAAAATGGCTATTTTTACTAAAAAAAACTGCTTAAACTTTAATGCATAAGAATATTTTATCTCCACCCAAAAGAAAAGAGTGGCCTAAAACAGACTAATTAAAATATTTTCTGTATCTGTGAAAAGATACTGATCAGAAACTTAATGAAAAGGCATATAATTTGCAATGCATATCACTAGGGTATCAAATTTTAAAATGTGAGATATCTGAACACAGATGATTAACAGAGAGCACAAATATCAAGCAAATAACCTATTTCCAATTTTACCTTGAAAAAATGCCAGTCTTTAAGATATAGCAAAGACTCATCATCATCATTGCATCTTAAGACACTGCTATCTTTTCTTGAAGAAAGTTTGAGCCAATAGCTAATGAACTCCGCAACAGTCATCTCTCTTCTCTTTTGATCCGTAAACTCTCTTTTAGAGCAATCAGCAACCTGAAAGAACGAGTGAAATTTATAGCACCAGATGGAGAAATAATTGTAACATTGATGTTTTAGCACTATAAGCATGCGGATTAACCAAGTTGATGCTGTATATTTAAGAAACAGCATATCAGAACCAACCTCTTAATATCATACATTATCAAAGTCCAAAAGGTGCAGCGAGTATGAAACCAAATGAATGGAGTCAACCACTGAACCATCGATTTGATCTAATTCTCAGTGCAAAAATGGTCCAACCAACATCAAGTCAAAGTTACATAAGTACCCTTTTTTCCCAAAAATGGTCCAATCAACATCTCATAAATTTAAAATGGCTCTAGACATCTTTACATGGCAAAAAAAAGCTGCCATAGATTTATCCAGAAAAAGCAAAGATAACAAAAAAGAACAACATAAGAGAAATATACAAAATAATGTTTAATGAGACACAGCCTGTCTCAAGTGTTAGTCTTCATGTCGTGATGAGATTGCCGCTTTGCGACCTAGATGACCAGAGTTCAAGTCACTTAAAAGCATCCTGTTTTGAAAAAATAAGACTGCATATGCTGATCTTCCCTAGACCGGGCTTGATGAGAGGCTCATGCATTATGCCACCATTTTTTAATAGTTCAAGAAAAAAAAACCAAGAAAAATGGTAAAGAAAGACTGGAGACTGGAGGAGGTTTGTCACAAAACAGTAGTCATTACAGCATTATGTGACTATGGCAAAAGACAATGTTCAGTGTACTACACCATCTATCAACTAGTGTGGATAAGCATGTCAACGTTATATTTAAAAGGCTTAATTAGAAAATAATTAGAATGCAAATGCATCCATAGACTCCATAACAAAGCATCAGGTTAAAAAAGAGCACTTGTCTTAGTAATAAAATCTAGTTCTGAAGAAGGTCAATAAAATCTATTGTTGGTAACAGACACTGTTAAAGAAGCCCTTTGTTACAGCAAATTTAAAATGGCGTTTACATGTTCGAATAACACTGTTGTGAATTTGATAATCAACATTTACCGAAATAGATGGAGCCAACATTAGCAAAGTCACCCCATGATGGGGGACAGATGGTGCAAATGTCAGGAAGAAGCCAGCAATGTGTAGCAGGATAAGCATGTTACTAATGGAGAGATGAGAATAAATTGGCATTTGATAAACCCAACATTTCAGAGACCAATTTTAGGCAGAAGGTCTAAGATTTATGTCAAAACCTTTCTTTTCAAGAGAAAAACAAAGCTGAATTCAAATTTACCTTCTTTAGAGCAAGGAGTGTTCAGGGAGGCGCTTGAATGACAATCTTTGCCTAACCTAATGATGAACACTTAATTCGACTTCCAGCTCTTTTTTATCTTTAAACCAAGATTCCTTAAAAGAATCCGCTCATGAGAACGGATGAAGACTAACAAAACCTTGATTCCCAACCCTCTTTTCGTCATATGGCTTGCACTTACTAGAAATCTACATGAGAGAGACTATAGCAGAAGACAAGCATGAACAAGAGAAGAGGGTTTGACCTGAACGACGGAGTCCCCGAAGTGGGTGGCGAAGAAGGGGAGGTTGGGAACACGGCCATCGGGGGCGAGCCAGTCGGTGGCCGCCCTCCACTCGTCCATGAGGCCGGTGAGGAGGACGGGGCGATTGGGCATCAGGTAGCGCTCCACGAACTCCTCGTAGCGCAGCGCCCTCCCATCCACCCGCTCCACCTCACCTCCAATCATCACCGGCGGCCTCCCCAGTCCTCCCATCTCCTCCTCCATCACCTTCTCTCGCTCCTCTTTCTTTCGACTCGAATCACTCCCTCCGCTTTTTGACTTGAACGGATGGAATTAATACTCGAGATCTGTTTGGGTATAATCGATAATTTGTTCGGAAAATAACCGAGATAAAAAAAAAGCTTCTTTTCATTCTAATTAATTCTAAATCGAATAAAAAAATTATTGAACCCTCAATTTTAATCAAATATTTATCATTCCTATATTTCCTATAAATATTATATATAAAATAATATTTTATTATTAAATGTATTTTTCTTGAACGAACAAGAAGGAACATCACAATCTTTATTGTTCAAGAAAATGACAACAAATTAGTGCTTGAATTATTTATCATTATAATATGAGTGTCGTTAATTTTTTATTAAAATATATCAAATAAGATAATGAACTTTTAATCTTAGGTAGTAATTAAATCCTAAACCTTTCGTAAGTGAGTTGACCGATATTAATTTTAGATATAAAAATTATATAATAAGATTTCAAATTTCTAGACTTATCAGAATCTAATACTACATTACCAGATTAATGTTTTCAGTGCGAGTGTCATTAAATTTCTAGAAGCATTCCTGTAAATTCTAATGAGAACTGTTGTTGTTCATCTTCTTCGAGCAACTACATAACGAAGACCGAGACCCCTAGTTGTAAGAACTTCATCAAGGCCATTAATGGTGACAAAGGAAGTTTCCAGTAAATGATTTGGGACTGAAACCTTCAAATCAATTTGAGGGTTGAGATGAATCTATCTGAAGTGATGGTCTCAAATAATGCTAAACCAACACCAACAACATGACTGGGCTCTGCCCTAAGTGGTTGATGGATAGATGGTAAGCTTGTAGAGATCTACAAGGATTACTCTCCTTTCAATGAAAGACCAAATCAAACTGTGAAAATTTGAGGTAAAACGAAAACAAAGGGTGTCCAAAGAGCAAACTCTACTGAGGAACATAAAGCTAGTGAAGCAGATCTGGTTTAGTTCAACTCACAAGACACAGAAGCATGATTTGCAAAAAGAATAACATAATGCAAGGCAAATCAAGGGGAAATTACAGGACAAACTACTCTAAAGCACCATCATTGATCAAAGTATATCCTTGTGAGACTATTTCTCCCTCTTGTAGATCTTCTGCAGGAAAGACTTCAGTACACCCTGAACCGCTTTGCTTGGCTGGGCCTCAATTGAAGATATCAGATGTTCATAACTGGTCCGCTCGTACTCGGCGAATACGTTCTAAGACACAATGAACAACAATAAATTAGATAAAGTTATATGGAACATTGAAGAGCAGATCAGAAAAAAGATTCACTAATGAAACTCAGGCATCAAATGCAAGCTCTAAGTCAGAAAGTGCAATAACAAAAGAATTATACACGTACGGAATTTGGGAGAGTGCTTCTATCAGAGGTCATAAGATGTCACAGACTAACCACCATTGGTTCATGATTCTGCGTCTTTGTTCACCAATTTGGCTAAGCTGCCCCCTCAATTCATACATGCAAATTTCTACAAGGCTGAGTTATATGGATATCTAGGATAGAGATTTTTACCATTAACCCTAAAACTTGCCACTTTGAAGGGACCAATCGTGTCGAGATTCTAAAAAGTCAGTGCCTCGATCAGTTTGTTTATATGCAGCTGTCTGCTTCTCTTGTCTGTCAAATGCAGACAGCTGTCTACTCCAATGCAATCATCCAAAGGAAGTTGCTCCTCAGACACAAATCCCCTCACACTATCATGATGGACACAAGTTAACCTCACTTTAGCAGCATTGCTGCTTGGCTGTCAGCTTCTGCATGTTTGAACTTGGCAATTTTATCACAATCACCACCTTGATATTAAGGGAGACTTGGACTTTGGTTGACCCCAAATTATATATTCTTCCTATTCTCTTAAAACATTGCAAGGAGATAAACGATCTTCCAAACAAAAAGACAACTTCTATTTGGGTCTTGATGGTTCCATCAAGATGAAGTCACCACACACCATATCATGAAAATCGGCATGGTTTCTAAGATGCTTACTCCCTATATAGCTACAACTTCGATGACCAAAATATTTGCAACACTGCACTAGGAATTTGGCAAGAATCAGCTGATACTCATCAAATCGTAGAAAGATTCATTATTGACAGTCACTATGGCCATAGCATGAGATATGTTTCACTAAACTAACAAAAAATAGTTAGTTAAAAAATATACTACATTAAACAGCAACAATTGATGGAATCAGACAGTATCAAAGTTCACTCTTACATGATGATTGGTATTCTGATATTAGTGTGCCAACTAGTGAGAATATTGATAAATGCCAAAATCAAATCAAACAGTTATTCTATGTTCTACATGAAAGTGTACTTGCCAAACCTGGAGATCGAGATCTTTATAAATACTCTTCACTTTTGCAACACAAGTTGGATCAGACTTTCCATAGATCTCCTGAAAATTAATCATAGCTTAGCTGTCTGCCTATGGTTCAAAGCAAAGATAGAAATGGAAAGAAACAACTCATCTTACCGACAAAGTTTTCATCTGATTCTCATTAGCGCGTTGTAGGGCTTGCACTACAAGCCAAGAACATTTAAAATCTTCAATGTCAGTTCCAATCTGTCAAAATTTAACAGAAATCAAGGCCATTAAAGTTCTAGATAGAATAACATTTGTAAACAGATAGAGACATCATAAATAAGCATTCACAAAAAGATAGATGGACAATTCCATGCATGCAAAAATTGTACTAACCTTACCAATCACTTCAGGATCACCAAAACAATCTAGGAAATCATCCTAAAAGAAAAGTCATATTAAAGATTATGGATAGGAAATTCTCTTAGCAGGTCAAAGCAAACTGGTACAATATCCAAAATCACCTGCACTTGGAAGTATGTACCCATTTCAACAAGAATGTTTTTCACATCAACAAAGGTGTCCAAATTTTCACCTGCCATTAGCAGTGCACATGCTACCTGAATATGGACAAGATAAACTTAAATTACCAAATAACAAACAATTCAATACCTGTATATATAAATAGTATACAAGACATAAAGAATTCACAAGCAAAAATTCCCATGGAGTGATACAAGTACCACATCTACAGCTTTCTGAAAGCTTGCTTGTCACAAGGACGGAAATGTAAATTAGGCTTCTAAGATTTGTTTCCAGAACTAGTTCCTAAAACTTTGGTGTCAATATTTGTATCAAAATCCCTAATATCCAAACTATGGTGCAGACTAATCTGACAATGAATGACAAAAACAATTTGTCTGTTTATGATGAGTCCATCTATTTTCATCTTCAAACATGACCACTCGGCAGTTATAAAGAACAATGTTTCTAATTGTTTCTGCTTAACTTCATAGATCAATGTCCCACCATCTTCATCGCATTAGATTGATGATGTTAGCTCTTCATGCTCAGCAAAATGACAAACTTGTTCCAAGTAATTTGAGATACATGAAACTTTATAATCATCAAAGATGTCCATGTACTCTGTGGTCATGATGCTTCAGCCATTAGATTAGCCTCATAACTAGATGACTAGGAGCTAAAAATATATAAATATGTATATCTTACGAAACATGGAGAAATAGACAATGTGACATTACAAGATAGCTGAAAAGATTATTTAGGCCCGACAAGTTCATTCTAAGCTCACTGACCCGAAGAAAGCCAAAGTGCAGCAGGACAACTTTAGAACACAGGCTACTGCATTGGAAGCTTTTAAGTATATTATGTTCTTGTAGCATATTGAGAAATATTCCCCCTCCAGTTGATACAGTGCTATAATTTAATAGATTTAGAAGATATGCCAAGCTCCTGCAACATGAAACTTGAAGCATATAGCATTGCCACATGAAGGTTATAAAGAAGCAAGCTCAACATAGTGGTTGGAGTTTATTTTGCCACTACATCCAGTGCAGCCAAAAGATGACATGGAGCCTCCTTGTGATTGTTATGATTGTCCAACAACTAAAATGCTACTAACAAGAATACCATTTAAAATAAATTGATATGTCTGTGTGGTTCGCTAGTGCATACACAATAATCTTGTACAAACAAAAGTATATCGCTAACCCTCAGAAAGATGGCATTGAAATGTGAACTCCACAAAAATAGAACTTTAAAAGGCAATATATGTCAAAATACCTAACTAATTCATATATTATATTACAAATATAGTGAAGAATTGTTAACAGCAAAAAAATTGAACTTATACAGAAATACCAAAATACAGAAAATCTGATCAGAATACTGGTGCAAGTAACAGTACATCACAAAAGCAATGCAAGCAGCAATCTGATATTATCTGAAAGTTTGCACTTCATTTAACTTACCGGAAGATAAAAGGAATAATAGGCAGTTTTGTATTGCACGATACGATTGTAACTGCATCCAGTTCAAACAATATCAACATTAGCAAAACATTGAAATCATGTTAAAAAATTCGATGTAAGAGATGAGATCTAAATAAATTATCATAGTTGCTCTTTCTGAGGAAAGAAATATTTATAGACCAAGGAATAATCAATTTACATTTCTTGGATAATCCTTAGATTACCAAAAGATAGAAGCGTAGCAGGATATTAGACGAGCAATAAATTATAATTTTTTCCTACATACACTGGCAGTGTATATTTAGACAGATCCTTTTCTCCTTCATGAGTAGTAATGAGATCAAGCATCTGCCCTGAAGCTGTCTGAAATTCAACCTATTAGGAGAAACACATATTAGTTCTAGTAGATGTAGCTAGTGAGCTAAAGCAAACAGTAACACGTATGATGATAGTTACCTCATTGAACAAATCAAGGAGATCTACATAGTAAGGCTTTCCCTTAAAATGCCGTTTAAGAATCCGAGGAATGTGATTGCGGAGTAGAATTCCATCATTTACGGCAATAAGTCCAACCTATTACAAAAATCTATGGCAAGTTAGTGGCTCTTCTTACAACCGCATTTCAACCTGATCTAAGCAGATTCAATCCATTGACACCGTTACCAACTAAGCAGATTCAATTA